CTACCCCTGTCCCAGCCAGGAGGTCAGGCTGACCTCCGGGCGTCTCAGTTTTGGATGTTTGGGGTGTCAGTGCATAGCCCCAGAAGTACTGAATCCAGAAGTATTCTCGCACCTCACTTTATATTGGTAGTCGTTCCGTAATTCATCATATCCTCCTAAAACGGTGAGAAGGGCCTGGAGGGTTATCCAGCGATCAATTTCCCACGGTTGGTATGTCAAAAAATCATGTTCGCCAATCCCCTCCCACTGGCCATTTTTTCAAGATTTTAGAAGCTTCATATATTGCAGTATTCATCGAACAATCGGTTTTTTAAATCGAAAGAAATGATGCTGATAATTCACCGTCCGTTTTTCTCGACAGCTACCAACTGAATCGCTACTCACCGTCTGACAACGCCTCTTTGTAATTGTGATGGGTACATCCCTGAATATTTTCGCGATTTAACGCGCGGTGGGCATTACTATCATGCCGATAGATCCTGGACACTTAAGCTTAAGTGCACGATTGCACATGTTCCGTCTACCCGTTCACCTTCATTCTTTTTTTGTCTGATAGCACGGAGTCTTGTCTGTAGTATACAATAAAAATTTGGATGTTACGCGAGCTCTTGGTCTCATGAAACGAGGAGCGCGAGAGCATGTCAGGAAATCAACAGTTCGCCAGATGCTGGACATGTTTCCCACGGCTCCCGCACCTTCGCCTCGACGACCAGCGACGACGACCGGACAACTGCGACGCGATATACCATATTTATGCAAAATATCAACATTACAACATTCCCAACACGCTATCCTGCCGACTTTGCGATGAATTCATGGGTTCCTAGTACTATTCTTCCTTAGGCTCGGTGGATCCGCCTAAATCGCGAATCCGGCCTTCGGATTGGCTGAGAGCGACCGGATCCACCTCCATCCACCGCGCCTATCTTCTCACGACCTCCATCCACCGTCGGATCCACCGCGCCTATCCTCTCACGACCGTTAGCGCGCGTCCGATGCCCACCGGATCCACTCATCATGCCTACGTGGACCGTGGGACCGGTGGATCGCGTCGGAATGCCCATCCACCCCATCCACCGCGTCCACTCGCGTGCCTGACGGTATCCAAAGCCTATCCATGCCCCAGGGTGGAAAACAGGCTGTTTTCCGCCCGTCTCAGATTTGGTTGATTACAGCCTACATGCATAGATTAGCAAGATATCAGTGGTCAGGAACCATCCCCACAGATTTTGAATCACAGCGCAGCCGCCAATAAAATGTTTATGATAGACACCGTGCAAGGCAGTTTGTGAGCCCAATACAATATCTCTGGGGTCAGTAACTATCTCCAAAAATCGCCCCAGGTTACCTCCATACGGCACGCATTTTTGCCCGATTTATGAACCGCTTTACCGTGGGAAATGCGAATGCGCCGAGTTTTTTAAATCGAAAAAAATAATAAGGCAAGTGCGCCGAGTGATTATAAAATCAACGGCTGCACCGGAGGTTGCGCCGAGATACCAAGCACTGTGGAGCCGATTAAGATCGACGCAGAAAAAAAAGATGGTATTTTTACATCCAATATTCATCCTTAGGGTTAGGGTTAGGGTTAGGGTTAGGGTTAGGGTTAGGGTTAGGGTTAGGGTTAGGGTTAGGGTTAGGGTTAGGGTTAGGGTTAGGGTTAGGGTTAGGGTTAGGGTTAGGGTTAGGGTTAGGGTTAGGGTTAGGGTTAGGGTTAGGGTTAGGGTTAGGGTTAGGGTTAGGGTTAGGGTTAGGGTTAGG